TTTGCCCTCTTCTGCTTTGCATTTTCATGAGTCATTCCCTTCTCCCTGAAGCAGCCACTCTAATGAAATTCTCTTCCTTCCATGCCCACTATCTCCTCCGTAAGGGGTTTCCTGACCCACAGCTCTCTCCCTCTGAATCCCCCTTTGCATTTTGACTCTTTGTCTACATATAATCATATTCCAACTTGTTTTGGGCTATTTGCACACATCTGTAATATTGATGTTTATGGCTATCTTGAATACCCTCCCTGTTCCAAACCTAACCCTAATTCCTTACCCTGACCCTACAAGGTTCCAAAAGCTTTATCATAGCCCCAGAGCTCATAACCATATACTAGGAGCATTATCAATGTGTTTGCAAAACTGAATTGATCAGATAACTGAGATGCCCAATGGCCAGCTACCTAAAAATACCTAACAGCTTCTGTTTTCTTTATTTGACATGAAATTGCCTAGAACTGAAATGAGAGAACAAAAATTTATGAGAAATCCCATATTCCCCCTAAGCTGGCCAAGTGGGGTTGGGTCCTATTGTGTTCAACTGCTAAGAACCATTTCTGGAGAAGCATGCACCTGAACCTCCTCCTTTCACATCTTCTGGCATCCTCTATCACATACAGGAAAAGAAGATTGATATAGCTATAGAAAGCTGAAGACCAATGCCTAACTATTCTTATACTCATCTTCTCTGCTGCCAGCTTAATTAAAGACAATGATCTGCATCAAGAAGGCTGCTGCAGGTGCAGCTGGGTAGAGCACTGGCCTTGGATGCAGGAGGACCTGAGTTCAAATCCAGCCTCAGACACATAACACTTACTAGCTGTGTGACCCTGGGCAAGTGACTTAACCCCATTGCCTAGCCAAAAAAAAAAAAAAGGCTGCTGCAGCAAAACTGGCTTTTAGTACTGGCTCTGCCATGAACTGTGTGAACTTTAAGCCCTTTTCTTATCTTTCTGAGCCTCGTTTTCCGAATCTGAAAAAGTGAGGAGATTGGAGAACCTGGCTCTGATGTTATCGCTGCCTACCTGGGTGACTTTTAGCTTCAGTTCCTAACTGAGGGGGTTGAACTTGATGACTCTGAAGCCTAAGTGTGCTTATAAAAGTTTAACAACTGCTCTCCTGGAAAAAAAAATGTCCGTGACCCACTTGTAAGTTCAGTTTGCTTAATTAACATCTTTTCCTTGGACACAATAAACAAAACAATGAATCAAGCCCTGATTTGCAGAGCTTGCAGATAGCTGACTTGGTGTACCTCTGTCCAGGGTCCTTTGAGTTCTGAGATTATGATCCCTAGAATTCCTTCCAGATCAGAGATCCATGTGGTTCAATGATTATAGAAAACATGACACTGTCAGTGATACCACGGGTCAAAAGTGGATTGTAGGGAGCTGAGTGGTCTGTAGAGAGTTGATACAACTCAATTTTATTCTATAGCCAACATTTGACTATGTGTTGCCTTAGAACAGAGGTTCCCAAACTTATTTGGCCTATCTCCCCCTTTAAAAAAAATTTACTCAGTGCCCCCTTGGAAATCTACTTTCTTTAACCCTTTGATGGTTTTTTTTTTGAAATTTGTGTCATTAAAAAAAAAATTAAATATTAAAAAAGACACATCTTAAATTTAATCTTATTGTAAATTTGTATTTTTTCCCCTGCGTTGAAATTTTGATGATGCAATATTGCATCATGTAACTATATAGTATCAAATTGTAAACAAGTCATTACATGCGCATATTCCTACTGAGGCATGTTGGACTTCCTGACAATGTGCGATATGCTCACCTGCCAACACTTGCTTATTAAGACCTGTTGGTGGACTTGACCACTGATGGGTTATTACTTGCATTTTGTGTGTTTATTGGAAAATAATGTAATCACTATGACTTTAACTCTATTACACAACAAATGAAACATGTATGAATGGTTTTTCAAAATTTTCTTCTTTCCTTATGCTTTCACTGCCCCCTTATTTTTATTTAATGCACCCCCCCCAGTTGCACCTGAGGCTACTACCACTGCCCCCCAATGTTCCAGTATCCCTGCAGGGGGGTCAGTATCACCCACTTTGGGAATCTATGATTAGAATATATAACAGGCTGATGCAATGCATAAAGTGCTGGGCCTGCACTCAGAAGACCTGAGATACTGCCTCAGACAGTTACTGTGTGACCCTGGGCAAGTCACTTAATCCTTGTCTGTCTCAGTGTCCTCAACAGTAAAATGGGGATAATGGCACCTACCTCATAGGGTTGTTGTGAGGTTATTGTGATCAAATGAATTATTTGTAAAATGCTTAGCACAGGGTCTGGTACATAGGTGCTTAAAAAATACTTTTTTGCTTTCCTTGAGTATTTCCTTACCCCTCTAATTGCTATAGGGGCAGCTAGGTAGCACCATAGTGCATAGAGTTCTGGGTCTGGAGTCAGGAAGACTCGTAGGCCTGAATTCAAGTCTGGCCTCAGACATCTACTAGCTGTATGACTCTGGGCAAGTCACTTAACCCTGTGTGCCTCAGTTTCTTTGTCTGTAAAATGAGCCGGAGAAGGAAATGGCAAGTCATTCCAGTATATTTACCAAGAAAACTCCAAATAGGGTCACAGAGTCAGACACGACTGAAAAAAATTGACTGAACCACAACTAATTGCTATAAAATGTTTTATCATGCACAGAAAGACTTTGATAGCCCAGTGAAGTCTGTTTCTCTTCTCTGTCTTATTTGGCCTGTAATGCATGGTTCTCTTTTATGAATAATTATGCTAACCAGGACATATTCCTTCTTTTTTAACACGTGATAAGCATTCTCTTTTGTTATTACAAATACATATACCCTCCCTGGGTGACCAACAAGTGCCTCTTCCTCTTTATTTCATCTAGCAAATGGATAGAAGAATAAGAGACAAGAATAAGTATCGCTAGGCAGATTGTAACAGACACACATGCCCCATCATGTGCTGCGGGAGTGCGGCTCTCTGAGTAAATAAGCTGCAGTTTTTCCTGCGTCGGTCTTCTTACTGGCTTATTGGCAGTAGCTAGTCAGAAACCAAAGAGAATCAATCAATCAATCAAACATTTATTAAATGCCTACTGTGTACCAGCGCTGTCCTAAGCCTGGGGACACAAAGTGACAAAAGACAGTCCCTGCCCTCAGGGAGCTCACAGTCTAATAGGGAGGGCAACAACATGTAAGCACATACATACAAACAAGCCATATATAGGATAAATAGGAAAGAAGGCACTAGAAGTTAGAGAGAGGGAAAGGCTTCCTGTAAAAGATGGGATTTTAGTTGAGACTTAAAGGAAGCCAGGGAACCCTGTAAGTGAAGTTGAGGAAGACGGGGCTCCAGGAGTGGGGGACAGCCAGAGAGAATGCCCAGAGAGGAGGGATGGAGTGAATTGTTTATGGAATGGCCAGGAGTGGAGTGTCCTGGGATCGAAGAGCACATGTTGGGGAGTAAGATGGAAGAAGACTGGAAAGGTTGGAGGGGGCTAGGCGGCTCAGTGGGTAAAGTACAAGGAATGGAGTCAGGAAGTCTCATCTCCCTCAGTTTAAATCTGTCTCTAGTTGCTTACTAGCTGTGTGACCCTGGGCAAGTCATTTAACCCTGTTGGCCTCAGTTTCCTCATCTGTAAAATGAACTGGAGAAGAAAATGGCAAGCCGCTCCAGTATCTCTGCCAAGAAAACCCCAAATGGGGTCATGAAGAATAGGATACAACTAGAAAATGACTGAACAACAACAAGATTATGAAGGGCTTTGAAAGCTGAAAGAGGATTTTGTATTTAATCCTGAGGACTGGGAGCCACTGGAGAGAATTCATGCACACACATAATATGCACCTAATAAAACTGAAGTTTGTAAATCAGTAATATGTAAATCTGTTAAGAGAGGCAAGTGTGGCATAGCTAATAGAGAAGTGCTCTTAGAGTCATCTCTCTCCGCACACACGCACACACACACGCACACATACTGACTGTGTGATTCTGTTCAAAACACTTAACCTGTTGGTGTCTCGGGTAATTCTCTAAGACTACAAAGTAATTGCCAATCCACATTAGTGGTGGGTTTTGGGGGGATCCTCCCACCTCCACCCAAAGCCTCAGGGGCCGGTGGTTGCTTACTAAGAACACCCAGATCTAGATATACTAGAAAAAAACTAGATGCTGTGCTCAATCGTTTCTAAGACGCTGGAGGCACTGCAAGTGCTTCCACCATCTTCTCAAGTTTGTCCTTTTGAGACAAAGCTCTAGTGGTTCTGCTCTAGTAATGGCTGTGGATGTGTGGCCTTGTTTCTTGAAAAAAATCTTTTGTTTTAATATCATCTTTATTGTTTTACTATACAACATTTTGTGCCTCTCATCCCCGACGACTCATCCCTTATACCAAAGCATTTAAAAAATCCCTGAGCAGGTAAATATGGGATGAAAGATATCATAAATTGAGCTAGAAGGGTGTTTAGAGAAAATCTAGGCAAAGCTTATTTTACAGATGAGGAATTTCAGTACCAGAGAGGTTAATGGGCCCAAAGCCAAAAAAAAAAAAAAGGAATACAGTTTGAATTTGAACCCAGGTTTTCCAGCCTCAGTAGTCATTTCACTGTGTCATGAGTATAGGGAGCCCCAAGGGTGAACGTGGAACTGAGTTTTGGCAGAGAGCCTGTGGTCAGATCAAGAGTAGCCTTTAATAATTACTGACCTTAGGTACAACCGGGTAATAAAAAGAATTATCGTAATAAGTAATCTCTTCAACATTCAAAGTAATTTGAGGGTTGATTATTCTGTTAGTTGTTTGGGTGACACAGAGTTTTTTAAGGTCTCTACCTTATTAACTTTTCCCCCAATAAAACAAACAATCCAGCCCACTGTCATCCTCTGGCCTCACCCTTTCCCACTCTTGCCCTGAAAGAGTCACAAGGAGGTGAAAGATTATTTCAACTTGGTTGTGTTCCATATTTATCACGTCTGAACTTGCTTTGAAATGGTGCAATCCGAATTGACTGCAAATCGATTATTTGATGCTGGTAACTTAGAGTCTGCAGCTTGGGGCACATCTAGCAATGCATTTTCTTAGTTGTCTGAAAGTTGTTGCTCTATCCAATTATGCCAACCTTAGATGACATCTTGGAGCACATTGGGGAATTTAACTTCTTCCAGAAACAAGCCTTTTGCTTCCTATGCCTGCTCTCAGCTGCTTTTGCTCCTATTTATGTGGGAATTGTCTTCTTGGGCTTCACCCCGGATCACCACTGCTTCAATCCTGGTGTTGCAGAATTAAGTAAGCGATGTGGCTGGAGTTTGGAAGAGGAGCTGAATTACACAGAGCCAGGCCTGGGTGTACCAGAAGATATTTTTACCAGACAGTGCCGGAGATATGACGTGAACTGGAACCAAACAGCCCTCAGCTGCATGGACCCTTTAGCTAATTTTACCAGCAACAGGAGCCACATCCCTCTTACCACCTGTCAGGATGGCTGGGTATACGACACTCCAGGCTCCTCCATTGTCACTGAGGTAATAGCAAACCAGAATCCCCATGCCTTTTCTGATCTGCTTATGGGGACCAGTGGGAGGGTCAGGTCTCTTGATAGAGGGGAAAATGAATTCTATTTGTCTAGGTTTGGTTTTGAGAGAGGCAGCATGATATAGAGGCAGTTAGATGGTGCAGTAGATAGAAGTCAGGAAGGTTCATCTTTCTGAGTTCAAATCTGGCCTCAGACACTTATTAGCTGTGTGACCCTCAGCAAGTCACTTAACCTTGTTTGCCTTAGTTCCCCTATCTGTCAAATGAGCTGGAGAAGGAAATGGCAAGAAAACCCCAAAAGAAGTCACATGTGAAATGACAGAACAACCACAAAAATATGGTGTAGCGTCTAAACAGCTGACATTGGAACCAGGGAGACCTGGGTTCAAGTCCCACCTTTGATGTATACTGACTGCGTAATCCCAAGTAAGTGACTCAGAAGCTAAATGTACCTAAGGAATAAAAGTTGCAGAAGAGGTGTTAATCTGAATTGGTAGAGGAGTTCCTAACGTCAATGACATCACAGGTTCAGTTCCTATTCCTTTAGGTTACTTTTTTCTCAATGAACAAGGCTGGTAGCATAAGGGTTATTGTCCCCATTTTACAGATGAGGAAAAAGAGACTAGAAGGGAGGTTAGTTGACTTGCTAACAATCCCCCAGCCGTTAAGTGTCAGAGAAGGATTGAAAAACAGGTCTTCTGAATCTAACATTTCCCCCTTGAGTCATGCTGCTTTTCACCATTAATAAGAATTAGTAAGAGTAGATATATTCAGTACCATGTTACAGCACCATGCTGAGTCACAGATGGACCAGGTTTGTGTGTATGTGTTTCTGTATCTGTGTGCATGAATGTGATTTGTCTTCTTGTCAAAGGCGACTATTTTAAAAGGTAAACACATTTTGTAAATTTCGAAGTCCTGGACAGCTCAGTCATAGAGTTGCCTGCTTCCAATATATTTTTCTGCTCATCTGGAAACTTACTCCTGGACAGTAACTCTAGGATCCAACACTTCGAGTTTAAAAGGAGCTTAAGGTTCTGAAATCTGGTTTTTCATTTCATAATCAACATGAATGACTGCCTCAGCTCTCTGGAGTCAGAGCAGCTACATACCTTTGGTAACGGGTTTAGAACTCTGAGGAAAGCAGACAAGTCAGCAACAGACTCCTCCACGTGAAAGGCAAGTGCCTTAAAGGGCCAGTGTCTTACACTAGAAACATCACCTGTTGACTCTACTGAAATTTCTGTTCTGATCTCAAACTTCCTAACATGCATACAGTTGAAATGCTCAGGCTATGAGTGGTTCTCCTTGGGTACGTATGTTGTTCAGTCATTTTCAGTTGTGTCCAACTCTTCGTGACCCCATCTGGGGTTTTCTTGGCAAAGAACCTGGAGTTGTTTGCCATTTCCTTGTCCAGCTTATTTTACAGATGAGGAAACTGAGGCAAATAGGGCTAAGTGACTTGCCCAGTGTCATATAGCTAATGTCTGAGGCCAGATTTGAACTCAGATCTTCCTGACTCCAAATCCAGCACTGTATCCACTTTACCACCTAGCTGCCCCTCCTTGTAGATGGGAATGTGTACCCCTAGATTTCTTGATACCTGACAAAGGTGCCACTTCCTTGAATAGCTTGCTCTCAAAGTCTTTGTCCTGATCAGAATGGATCCTGGCAGGGATTCCATACCCTGAGAAATAATTCTCTCATAATACTTTACATCCCACAGTGGATGCACTCTAGCTCCTAAAGAACCTTCACACCTTTTGAAATGATATGAATGAAAAGATGTGGCTAACATTCTTATTATTTTCTTAAAGCAGTAAGAAGTTGGTGAAGCCAAGTTCCAAAGGTTTGTTAGTGCTTATGTTGGCAGTTTTTTTCTTTGCACATATTAGGCAGAAGTTTCACACTTCTTAGTAACAATTGCTACCATTTTGGGCAGCTCGGTGGTGTAGTGATTAGAGCACTAGACCTGGAGTCAGGAATACTCATCTTCCTGAGTTCAAATCTGGCCTCAGATGCTTACTAACTGTGTGACCTTGGGCAAGTCACTTAACCCTGTTTCCCTCAGTTTCCTCATCTGTAAAATGAGCTGGAGAAGGAAATGGCAAACTACTCCAGTATCTTTGCCAAGATAATCCCAGATGGGGTCACGAAGAGTCAGACATAACTGAAAAACCACCGAACAACAACAAATCATCTCGGGTCAGTAAATGTATTTCTTACTAGTTTGAAGGTTCTCTCTTGACTTATGTGTCTCAGGTCATCCTACAGAGCCGCCTGTTCTTTCATGGGAATTACATATAGCTTTCACATCTTCTTTCAGTATCAAAGTGGCTTTGGGGTTATACAGCTTTTAAGAGAGAGTATCCTCATCTTCATGAGCCTTCCCTGGCCTGTATCAATCAGTTCCCTCGCTCTGGATATGCCAGGCTATGGTGCCCATCTTTTTATTGAATCCAATAATTTTTTTGGGAAACTCTAAGTTCACTAGGATATAACTCAAATACATGTAGTCCTTCTCACTCAGTCTACCAATTCTCAGTCCATTTGTAAGTGGTCAAGGTATTTTCCTCAGTTGTCTCTGAAATAATGATTCAAATATGAAGACAACTTGAGATCCACTGTTCAAGATCCACTGTTCTCAGTGTCAGAAATCACCTCAGAGCAGGGGGGGTGTCTTATGAATTCCAGATGGGGTAGATCCATAAACAACTGATGAATGGATTGTGGTAACTGTTTGAGGATCCAGGGTGACCTACTTCTTTGGTCCTATCCCCATTTCTCAATTCTGATTTGGTAGGGCTGAGGCTGCATCATCTCCATATATACATCCAACATATGGCCGTCTAATACACAATTATAAAAGAAGAAGAGCCTGCTTTTCTGGATAGGTCCCGGTGGTGGTTTTAATATATTAGGTCATTATGGCCTCTGTTGCCTTGGACCTTTACCTTTCCAAAAGGAACATGTTTGTCCACCGTTCCATCCCTTACTTGATCCTTAGTGGGCTCCTGCCTTCTGTCTCAGGATCTTTACTGACACATTCATTGTAGGTAGGACCAAAGCCAGATTCCCCTATGCCAGTGAGATGCTATGGATCCAAATTAGGGAACTTTTTAGGATAGAACCATGTCTTTGGGGGGAGACTCCCTTTCTTTGCTTTATGACTTGAGAAAATACTCCCGAGTCAATCAAGATTGAGCCTTTCTTTGCAAAAGTTATGGTGTTCATCTCTGTTAGTATTTGCCTCATCTTGGCTAATTGTGGCAATGGTACCCATCAGTCATGATTAGTGATGTGCAGATCAGAGTTGTGTATCAGACCTCTGCATATTTCCTGCTAACTACATCAATTTTTTTCAGGGACAACTGTCCCTCTCTGCATTAGTATTTGTCATTGGGAATTTATAAAGTGAGAAAGATTTTCTTTTTTTCCTTATGCAGAACAGTAGAATTGATAAATATAGTGTATGCTTTCTCTGGGGTCTCACCATCACCACCATATAATGACTCTTCGTTGTTGTTTAGTCATTTCAGTCATGTCTGACTCTCCATGACCCCATTTGAGGTTTTCTTGGCAAAGATACTGGAGTGGTTTGCCATTTTCTTCTCCAGCTCATTTTATAGGTAAGGAAACTGAGGCAAATAGGGTTAAGTGACTTGCCTAGAGTCACACAGCTAGTAAGTGTGTGAGGCTGGATATGAACTCAGGTCTTCCAGACTCCAGGCCTGTCACTCTATCCATTACACCACCTAGCTGCCCCATATAATGACTCTAGGTTTTGTAAATACATTTGCCATTCAATTCCAAATTATGTAGTGTTTAGGCCCTTCACAAAGGCTAGAGCTTTTCCTATAAGATTCTCCATTAATCTACTTCTCTTTTCTAATTCTGTTGCCTTTTAATACTGTAACCTATCTGACCCTTGCCTAATTTAAGCTTTCTAGAATTATTCTCCTGGATGAACAGAAGTGAGGATACCTGTAAAGTGCTTAGGACAATGCCTGGCATGTAGTAGGCACTATATAAATGCTTATCCCCTTCCCTTCCCCCTGGGAAGCATGGTTCTTTCCTAATAAAGTTCCCCTAAGGGCAGCTAAGTGGCATAGTGGATAGAGCATCAGCTCTGGATTCAGGAGGACCTGAGTTCAAATTCAGCCTTAGACACTTGACACTTACTAGCTGTGTAACCCTAAGAAAGTCACTTAACCCAATTGACTCACACACAAAAAAAGTTCCCTAATTTGAATCCATAGTGTCTCACTGGCACCAAGTGATCTGGCTTTGGTCTTAACTACAGTGAAAGTATCACTTTTGCACTTAAATGTCACCTAATTTCTTTGTGAGAATGCCTTTTCTGATCAGGAGATCTTCTACTGTCCAAGTAGCCGCTTCTTCTCGGAGGGTAGCATGTAGACTAGTTCATAGGATCATAGAATTAGGGCCAAAAGGAACCCTAGAGACCTTTGAGTCCAAACTCCTTATTTTACAGATGAAGAAACAGAAATGGGGAGATGAAGTGATTTGCTCATATTCTTGTCGGTATCTGAGGAAGGATATGAACTTGATTCTTAAAGTCAAGGGTCATGATCAGTTCCCAGGACTATTGTCAGTTCACTAAGAATGTTTAGGGGTGGCGCAGTGGATAGAGCACCGGTCCTGGATTCAGGAGGACCTGAGTTCAAATCTGGCCTCAGACATATAACACCAGTTGTGTGACCCTGGGCAAGTCACTTAACCCCATTGCCTAACCAAGAAAAACAAACAAACAAACAAACAAACAAACAAACAAAAGAATGTTTGGAGGCAGCTAGATGACACAGTGAATAGAGCACCAGCCCTGAAGTCAGGAGGACCTGAGTTCAAATGCAGCCTCAGACCAAACACTTGACATTTGCTAGCTGTGTGATCCCAGGCAAGTCACTTAACCTCAATTACCTAAAAAAAAATCTTTGAAAGAATTAATGGTTCAGGTAATTCACAGAGC